AACCATGACATGCTTTCATGAAAGGAATCCTGCTTCTACCCCCTCCTTCCTCCCATTCTCTGTACGTGATAATAGTGATAATAAAGGAATGTATATATATATATATATATATACATTTTACTCTCCATACTTTAGTATTTTCATCCCATATGCCATTTCCGAGTCCTTGTTTTTCACTTAACAAATCTTGAATGTTGTACCATATACAAGGAGATAGTTCCTATCTATTATCCAAGCTGCCTGGGGCTCTGCTATAGACTTACTGTAGTTTATTATCTCCATGGGTAGATTGTTAGAATCTGTCTATATCTCTTGGTGACTCACATCTGTAATCTCAACATTCAGAAATCTGAGACAGGAGGATTTCTGTGAATTTGAGGCTGTTCTGGGATACATAATGAGTCACAGGCCAGCTAGAGCAGTAGTGTGAGAGCCTGTCTTAATATCTGCACATGTAAGAAATGTAAGAAAAAGAGAGACATTTAGGTAGTAATGAGTCTTCTTAAGTTTCATAAAAGGCATGCATGTTTCCTTCACTTTCTGAGTGTATATTTTAGGATGGATTTCCAGAACCCCATGTGCTGTTTAGATCACAATGGTTGGGTAATATTACTAGGTGTGACCTAGTTCCTTCTCACTGTGGTAATAATATTTGTGACTGAACAGTAATATGTGAGGTTCTAGGGTGTTTTGATGGCAGCAATGAAGTAAGCTGTGTATCTCTGCATTTTGTCAATTGGATATATGAGAAATAGAATGTCATAATTCTAATTTTTCATGTCTATTAAAATGTCATACAAATACTGATTTATTTTTTTTATTTTGAACACCAGGAAATATTGCTTATGATATGCGAGGCAATCAGAATACAATTGTGACCTATTCTCTATTGCATAAACACAAGTGTGAGTTTAATGAACAGTAGGGCCTTTTGTACTTTTACAAAATATATCCTGTTATTTATCTGTTACCATGGAAGGGCAAACATAACTTGCTAGGATATATTTGAGTTAGAAATTGTTTACCACAAATGAAGCTGGCATTTTTATGTACTAGGGCCTTTCATCTGGTACCTTATTTCTGGCTCTGTGTGGGCCACTACTGATGACACTGAGCACATCTTTCAGAGGGAGACTATTACATGAATAAAGCTCAGGATGACAAAGTAGGACACACGGTGTATCTGCTCGGTGATTATTGTCACCAGTCACAGTGTCATTTACAGTGGGTGTGTGCCTTCTCCAGAATTCAGAAATGTGATTATAGAACAGTTTTAGCCAATTCTGAGTAAGGATACCTTTCTAGTTCTGCTGAACATTTTCTTCCCCTGGATTCTCATGTCCCTTCTATGATACCTCCTGTAGGAAGTTCAAGGAGGTGACATTTGCTTCCCTCCCATTTCCACTTTATGCAGAGAGTGTTCAGCTTACAGCTCTGAGACAACAGACACCCAACCACAGGCTTTCAGAGTGTACCTACCTGACTGGGACGGGTGGGCCAGGGCCAGGCTAACTCAGGGCTATGGTTTACTCAATAGAACTGAAGCTCACAAATTCCCATGCTCTTATTGACTATTCTATCTCTGAGCAAAGTCTTAAAGTCACTGGCTTGTCCTGACTGTCCAATTTGCTGTAACAGTGCCCTCATGAGCTCAGCACCATGGTTCTTTATTGTCAATTGCTTCTTATTTCCAGAAAATTCTAGAATTTTTTTTGTATACACACATTCTTCTCTTTTAGTGTGGTGTGTGTGTGTGTGTGTGTGTGTGTGTGTGTGTGTGTGTGTGTGTGTGTATGTGTGTATCTGCACATGTATGTGTATGTATTTGTACATGTCCCTTTGAATATGGACATCTGTGTGCTACATGTGGAGATCAGAAGGAAAAACCTAGAAAGTCAGTCCCACCTTCCACCTTGATGGAGGCCAGGTCTGTTGTTATCTGCCTCTGAAAACCCCAGGCTAGCTGGCCTTTGAGTTTCTAGAAGATCTACTGTGTCTCCTCCTTGTACCGCTAGGATGACAGATGCTTACCAGGTGACTAACTCTAGCTTTACTTGGTTCCAGGATCAGAACTTAGGAGTTCATTCTTGTACAGCAAGCGCTGCACTCACTGAGCCGTCACCCAGCCCTACCACACAGTTTTAGAACCACAGTGAGCCTGCGATTCGGCTGCTGGGAACAGGCGCACAGGCTATAGGTTCACATCTCATGGGCAGTAGATAACTATGTGCTTTTGCTTTTCTCACTTGTTCTGCTTGTGTTTCTGAACCTATCACAGCAATACCGAGTGCATCAAATCTAGACTTTATATTCTCTCATATTTCATGCAGAAAGCAATAAGAATCCTTAGTGCAGCCCCGATGAGACGTCTGGTATACACCAGAGATCCAATGGTTTGGAGGAATAATGGGATGTTTTGCACCCCTAATTTATACATAAAGAAATAGAATCACCAAGAGGCAACCCGCTTCAGGTCTCTTTGACAGAGGGATGCCACACTTCCATTGTCTGTTACCTGGGTATGCCTGGGTGTGAGTGAACTTTGAATCTAAGAGTTCATGTTCAGTATAGAATGCTGTATTTGGGTAGCAAACTTCCTAGTTCTGGCTTCTGTTGTAGTCCAACTAAAATATATCAAAGAGGCTGCCTGCTTCAGAGATGCTTGCATTATTTCTCATCAGCATCTGCTGCTAAAAATGTATTCGGCATTCTTCTCTCTCTCTCTCTCTCTCTCTCTCTCTCTCTCTCTCTCTCTCTCTCTCTCTCTCTCATGTTATATGATGCCCTTTAACTTGCTGTATTCTTTGGAAGAAGGCAAAATGGATTTTCTGTGAATTAGCATGCAATTTGAATTATTTTGCAGCATTTCTGCATCCAAGGTTTGCCAGGGCCATAAGTCACGAGACACTAAACACTGCACTCAGCTTTCATATGCAATATTTCCAGAAGGTAGGATGCATACTCAGGGCATGAGATACATCTTTTAAGACACTTTTAATCTAAATGGACTTCTGAAGCACACAGCTCAGCAGATACCCTTTCAGATGTAGAATCATCTCTTCATTTATGATGGATTACACTTTCAATCACCATAAAAAGAATCTCATATTTAAAACCATGTGAAAAAATACAAATGAAAACTTTCCCCCTAATTTTTCTACTAGTGAGACCTCATCATAGTGAGACCAGAATGAGTTAACACAAGAGTGAACAAACCGCACCCAGTTCTTGGTTATAGCAGCTTATGACACCGGGATGCTGGGAAAGGTAAACTACATGTGATTGCAAACACAGACATTTAAGTCATTGAGAATGTTGCTTTTTAAAAGATAGTTAGGAGAGAAAACCACCTTTATCTTTCTCAGAATTAGCACTGTTAATGGGGGGAAAGTCTCTAGTTCCTTAAGCCACAGTATTTGAAATGTTTTCTATCCAGTTTCTCGGTTGGGATTCTACACAGCGAATACTGTTCTCAGGGGATGAGAAATGACCCCTTTGGTAAAGTGCTTGCTTTACAAAAACATTGACCAAAGTTGTGTTCCCAGAAACAATGAGAAAAAAATTCAAGCATGGCAGCACACTTCTATAACCCAAGTTCTAGGAAAGTGGATCCTGGAGCGTCCCTGGGGCTTGTTGGACAGCCAGTCTGACCAAACGGGTAAGCTCTGCTTCCCTGGTAGTCTATCTCAAAATATAAGGTGGCAAGGGACCAAGGAAGGCATATGACATGATATTTCTGGCTTTCACATGCATGCCCAAACATATGCACATACACAAACGGGCACCTGCATGCATAAACATATGTATAACTGCATACACATGTACACATATGAGCGTACAACACACACACACACACACACACACACACACACACACACACACGCACGCACGCACACACACACACACACACACACACATCTCAACCTCCTTTTTTCCAGATCCCATTTAGTCTCTGAACCAGCAAGTGGAAGACCTGTCATACAAGAACCTCAGAATGGCTTCCTCTTTCCATCTTGCATCTCCATCACCTCCCCAGCACAGGCTACCTGCAGATGCTACATCTCCCCAAAGGCAGCACACCAGTGTCAGAAAATGACAGCACACCAGTATCCTTCTGACATTCTGAGTGTGAGTGCGCTCCCTTCCTGCTTCTTCTGCTTCTGCCCCTTCCATCTTCCTTTACAGACACATTGACAGTGCCCTTCATTCCCTTCATGTTTCCCATGTAGCTGTTTCTTAGTATCAATGGCATAGTGACTCAGTGGCACCCAATCTTCACTTTTAGTTGCTTCTTCATATTCTCTAGGTTTCCATCAACAAATGAAAATTTATTAAGTGATCCTATTTTCCTCTTCCCCTGGTTAGGTTCACTTCTTCAATCCACTGCATAACCAGGCTCTAAAGGTGGATTTTTACATCAATATTAATGTTTGCCTAAGAAACATTAAAATCCTCAGGTTACTCCTGTCTGCCATTGTCTCCCCACACAGGCTTGATCTTATATTGTTATAAAAACTGATGCAGAGTCAGGAGGTGGTGGCGCACGCCTTTAATCCTAGCACTCAGGAGGCAGAGGCAGGTGGATCTCTGTGAGTTCGAGGCCAGCCTGGGCTACAGAGTGAGTTCCAGGAAAGGTGCAAAGCTACACAGAGAAACCCTGTCTCGAAACAAACAAACAAACAAACAAAAAACTGATGCAGAGACCATGAGTAGCATGGATGAAAAGATTTGTTCTTACTGTAGAAGACTCAATGATACACATGAAATGTAAGGTGTTCCATAGCTGTTCTCTATTTAAATGGAAACATTTTTTTCACTCATCATTGAAATTATAATTTGTAAAGAATGGCTCTCCTTTCTGTAACCCAATGGCACCTCCAGCTGTCTGTTCAGAACCTCACTTAGCAGAATTCTATCCCATACCATTGTCTCAAGAAACACCATTGTCTTTTTTCTCCCACACGTGTTCTTTGTTGTTTGTTTGGTTTTGACTTGATTTACTGGTTTACATCTTTGTAAAACTGTGTTCAAATGTCATCATTCATTAAGCCCAGTTTAGTCATATACTGTCCATAGAGTGCACCAGTCACCTGGACCACAGTCCCTTGTCCTGACTGGCAGCTCTGTTTTCTGGGGCCTTTATTTTGTGTCTGATAATTATTTGGACATCAGCTTTCAGTTGGCTCAGAGAAGACTGCTTAGGGTAAGGCCAAAAAACTTGTGTTTATATCCTCTGTATTCTGTAGATCAGTTACTGGAACAGTTAGTGTGTTTTATTATACAAATGAATATATATTATAATGCTTGCTCGGAAAGTCTTAGAATCTCAGACTGGGTGGGGTTCTTAGTATACTGTTATACTTTGCTTACTGTAAAGACAAGTATCAAAATTAGATTTTACCCAGTAAATCTGTTAATGGTTGAGCTATGGATGTCCATTCACACACTGGAAGTTCTGGTCTCAAAGACCACAGAATGGGACTCCTTTGGAAATAGTTTCTTGGGAGGGGGGTCAGTTACAGTGAGGTTGATGTAACCCTTGTAGGAAAAAGAAATCCAGACAATAGAGACACAGAGAAACACATGAAAGATGAAGTGAGACCATGTGAGAAGGTGGATAGCCATCTGTAACCCCCCCAAAAAAAAACCCCAGAAGTTTCAGAACTCTGCTGGAATCTAGATCTCAGAATTCAGCTTCCAGAGCTGTGAACAAGAAAGCTACCATTGTCTCATCACACAGTAACCCTACAACACTCATTCTCTCCATATTATAATTTCGATGATAAGTGAAAAATTATATTCACTGAAACAGAGAAAAACTATGGAACCCGTTACATCTCAGGTATATCATTGAGGCTTCTCCAGTTAGAACACAGCTTTTCATCCATGCCACACTTGGCCTCAACATCAGTTTTATATCAATCAATACTGAACAGAAAAGGGCTCTTTCCATGTGTCCTGCTGCAGGAGAGATGGGTCAATCACCACCCCCATTGAAGATCTCAGAATTAATGGGGTAGAATACTCAAAACAACTGAGTTCATGGGCCCAGAATCACTGTTGTAAGTATAAGCTGTTGTTACTGAACCAGGCTGGATTCAGGGAATGCACAGCCTCTGAGGTGGTAGGTGGAAAGTCAGGCACTCTACTGAAGGGAAGGACATAGAGTTTGACAAAATGATCTGCTTTCTTGCTGCTCCATGTTAAGAAATGTGCAGCATCTTCTTGTGCTCACGGAGTCTGGCCAGGCATCTGAACACAGAGTCTTAAGACCCATTAATTGGTGAGGCAGACCTGAAAACAGAATATTTTAATTAAAAGTTTTTAGTGCTAAAGTAAAGAGGGAAAGGAATCTATAGAGAACCTGAGGTCAGGAGAGCTTTACTCTGCTCTCAAATGGCTCTGTGTGCAATGTTCATATTGACATGTCTCAAGTACCCAGTATCCTCAAAGCACTACGTGTATCAATTTAACCCCTCAAACTATCCAAAGCTAGTAATTAGCCCCACTTTATAGATGCTGAAATCTGAATGAAGAACGGCACCAACAGACCCAAGATGTGATAGATACCTCAGGAAGTGTGGGTTTTAGACCCTCTGCTTCTACCTTTAGGATCATGACTATATCCCTCAAGTACATTTGGAAATTTCATGTTTTATATGGGGGTGCAGAGGGATGGGACCTTAAAAGGTATGCCTCTCAGAATGGCTCCACTGTCATTAATTAACCAGCACTGCCATCTTGGATGCTCTCTCCCTTTATCTCTATCTACTTATCTCCCTATCTCCCTATATGATTGCCTCCTCTTCTGTCTCCCTGTCTGTCTATCTCAGCCTCTCCCTCCTGGCCTCTTTCCCTCTGGATCACCCATCTCTTTCTCTAACTGTATCTTTTTCATGGGATTGACCCAGTGAAAAAGCACCTGCCTTTTGGTAGTCTGTCAGTCTTTGTCCTCTAGAGTGGTAGGCTACTAGCTCTGTGTTCAGAGTGCTTCATCACTGTGGGCAATGATCTATTTCCTATCACACCTTGAACCAGGAGGGAGGATGCACTGTGAGGCACATTGACATGCCCTGCACATTGTACCAATGGCACTAGTGTCCTAGGAATATGGACCCAGTAAAGATCTAGTTTGAGCTGTGCCACAGACTCTGACAAAGAACAGCTCAAATTTTACTATTACTGACAAGAAAACCATGTAATATTTCCAAAGGTTCTACTCCCTGGACAGTGGGGTCTGGCACACACTTATTTCCTGTCACCAGACTGAGCTGTGAGCAGTGCTTGGTCTCAATTTCATGACAGAAGATAATATTGCTGGCTTCCAAATTCACCAGGAGATCCAGTGAGACTAGAATGCGGTAGGTCAGCCTCAGTCTCAAGTTTTCAGTGATAGAAGTGGACAGGAATTCATCCATGCAGATTTCACAGTCACATGTGATGTTATTTTTTAAATTATCTGAATGTGCTTTGGAGTGTTTCAATCTTTTTTTGATAATTTTTTTGCATAGCTTAGGCCTCACAGACATCATAAAACTAATCACTCTCATATCACCTGATTTAAGGACCATTATCAGAATGCTTAGAAAATGCTGATAAAGCTGCGCAGTCAGCAGTATGCGCTGCTCAATGAGGGATGGACACATCATGCTCAGAGCTGATCCCTTTCTGCTTTTAAAGGATCAATGTTGGCAAGCCTCCGCAACTGTGTGACTTAGTAGACAAGAAGAACAGCTATTAATGCCCACCTTCAACACAAGTGTTCCTATACTATTTGTCCAGGGCTCCCATGCATCCTCACCAGCTTCCCACTCGGGAAGTGAGGAGGAATCCATTGCTCATAGCATGCAGCCTGGGCTTCCTCAGCACAATCAATCCATAGCATGAACCACAAAGAATAGCTTCAAACTCAAATACTTCCACTGGGACATGGTGAACTGCCCAACTGTGTCAACCACATGGTCTTAATAGAAATTAATTTTCAAAACAATAAGTATTATTTATTAAACTTATTTGGCCAAATTTTTTGATCTTCTAATTGAAACCCCCAAGAAGAGACACTGAAGTTCTCACTAGAAATTGGTATGTGATACAGCATTGTTTGGGGGGAAACTGGGATAAATAATGTCAACGTATGTGGTATTATTGATAGGAGAAAAATCAATAGTAGGTGAATAAATTGTAGGATCCATTCTTCAAATCTCTCTGAAGTAGAGTTCTGGAAAAATCATTGCCTACATTACACTGGTCTTTGAGCCATTGGAGACTTTTTGTCCTGTGTTTCTTGCATATTCCTTCAGTGGTATTTCATCACATCACTTTAAGATTAGACAATGGGATAAATAAATGGGAGTCATTATTTATATACTCCATACACAGGGGGAAAGAGCTCTCTTAGTAATTAACAAAACAAATGAATAGATGGCTATGAAGAAAACAAATGAAATTATAAGATGATTGTTTGTGAGCCATTAGATACTATACTAGAGTAAGAGAATATGACCAGACAAGTTCAGTTTACTTACTAAGAAGAAACAAAGCCACTTGTTTCTGCTGCTCTGACCTTGTATGTATTCCATATGTGTTTTCTCGGGGCACCTTTCTCTATAGCAATATAATCATGCTTTGCAATTTACCAGCAACATTTAAAAACATTACAAGACAGTTCACATGGGCAGATTTAGTTAGGTTTACAGAAAGATGGATAGAAAGCCATTTCTATTCAAGTTATTCACTAACTGCCATTGTTCTTCTTGTCATTAACACATGATATCAATGTTTCATATTTATTCAAACTGAGGAACCAGTGTGAATGCATTGTGTAAATATAAATCCAATCTACACTGTGATTCATTCTTTTTGTTATACAATTCTCTAGATTTTTTCAAGTCCAGGATATCACACATCAATACTTGCAGTATCATGTCTAGGTTTCTCACTGCTTAAAATCTAATTAGTGGGATCTCTTCCTTTACCTATAACATGAAATTATCATGGGAACCTGTCCTATGACCTCATCTGGTCCTGGATCTTTCCATGGGCCCTGACATCTTTTGTATTGACATTCAGGTTAGGAGACTAAGTTTCCAGTGAGTGACCCTGGAGGAAATATAGTCAATCCAACAAAAGTTAAAAAGTGGGCATCTAGGAAATCTTGTCTGTGGACATCAAGTTGCTACAAAACCAAGTACCTTTTTAGCCATTTTTACTTCTAATGATCATAATTGCAGTAGTTCAAAATATTCGAGTCATCATAACTTTTACTTTCTAAATTGTCATGAAATAGGTTTTCTACTTTTGCAGATACAAATTATATGTAGATGCTCTAGTGATATTTAAAACTTACTAAGAGGGAATAAGGAAGAAAACTGCTTAAAGCAAAAGTATTAAATGTATGAATTTCCAACTAATACTAGAAAAAGAGTCTGCCTTATCATACTTGGTAACTTGTTTATGTGTTCTTCATCCACCTTCATTGTAGTATTCATTACACTGCATCCTTTCAGTACATTCTGTGACACAGCATAAAGTCCCTGAGTAATGCTATAGACCTAGAGTACATCAGCATTTAAAAGGAGCTCAGAGAACTGCGATTCCCTTATAGATGTAGTCTACTTGCAACTCATCAGTGTGTCTCTTTTTCCAGAAATAGGACAGTGGGATTAAAAATACATCCAGGAAACAGCAAAGCCACACTAGATTTAACATTATAATTTCATTTAAATATAGAAAAACTGGGAATTTTGATATTATGCTATTAATTATTTATAGATATATACATAGCACAATTTGTATTTATTCATTATAACAAATATCTGAATGTTTAGTATTATTTAAACTCTTCATATCTGTAGCATGTATAGAAAATCTGTTAGGAGGGAGCATATTATAGTGTACAGTGTTGATTTACAAGTCAAAGAGACCTTTCTTTAATCATGACTATGATACATAGCTTTGTGAACTTGGACAACAAGGTGACCTATCATGCATGTACCACAAATATCCATGTGTTTTCACTTCGAGTTTGTATACCTTAAGTCCAGACATCTTATTTGAACTCTAGACCTGGGCTTTCTGAATTATTTGAGGCATTGGTATATTTCACAGTTTTCTAGCATGCAGCATTGAACCCTGCTTCATTACCTATGTTACACTATCAAAGCTCCTTATTTGTTGAACATTTCCCAGATCCTTCAGTTGGTAGTTCAGAGCTCAGCTCATCAGCTGCCCTTCACCCATTCCAACCTCTTGCTTGAGGATACTGCTTAAGGAAGTGACATCATTTTCAGGTGAGTACTGATAAAAGCCTCAATGCCAGGCTTGCCTTTTTCCAATTCATTTACATATTCCTGTAGTGGCAAACTCTCTGAAACATATACCCAAGAAACAATTTACTATAGCTTTACATTTGCAAACAGGTTTTAGAATTTAAAAAAAAAAAAAAAAAAACAGCATCACAATGGTACTACATTCAAAAACCCAAGTCATTACAGCTGTCACCCATACAGCTGGCCTCTCTATTCAGCACTTTCCTATACACTGGGTCTGCTCTGGTGACATTGACTTGATCTTAATTAAATCCATGAATTAACTATAGCCTTTCAAGTAACGCTGATGTCCTTTGCTACTGATTTGATTAGAAGATTCCTCAACTCAGTATACTCAAGGAGAGCTTTTTTATTGTGCTCCATATGAGTTTATTACAAAGATTTGTAAAATCAATTGCTGAGTTCCACTGCGGCAAAAAGAAAAAGAAAAGGAACAGGGGGAAAAATAAACAACAAGAGAAACAACAACAAACATCTAGAATGGAAGCTCCATGGAAGAGATTTAGAAGAAAGAGATTTTGAATGATAACGGTTATCTCCTATAAATTTAATTTTCAATCAAGTAAAAGATGCACTCTAGAGGAGGCCCAAGTGGTTAGAGCACGTCACTGCGTGGGAACTGAACTGGCGAGCCAAGCAGAAATGTGAGACCAAATTCAGTCCAGACAGAATAAAGAACTAAACAACGATTCTGTTTGAGGTCTAGGAAACAAAGGCAGGGTAATTACATTTATGGAGTGAATGTAGGCCAGGCACTCCCAAGCAATCCCCTACTCCCTACATAAAACACTGTGGATTACAGCCAAGCCTGGGACAGTAGTAAATAAAAGACACAGAGTAAAAAAGAATAGGGAATTATTTTGTATTCACTTTAATGAACATGCTGATGTTATAAGTACTGAAAATCTAGAATCATGGGCCTCTAGAATAGCTGGGAGCAGGCCAAACATATTCCTGCTGATAATGTCTATTTCATAAAATATTTACACAGAGTGCATAAGTGAACAATAGTTTTAGGGAACAGTTTAAAGAGACATGTTTTGCTGTTTGTTCATTCATGAATCTCATGTTTCTTTTGATAGTATAAACCTAAGAAGAACACAATGTGGTATTTGTTACTCAGAGTGTGTTCTTGTTGTGTGTCACCTTGTTAAACTGTAGTTTCACAAACTTCCACATAAACATAAAATCAATCTAATTACACTCATAGAAAGCAAGAGACAGGTACTCAAAACAGAAATCTACCCCCTAACACACACCCAGGAAAACACACACACACACACACACACACACACACACACACACGAGATTCTAGGAGCATGCTTTCCTTTTTATAACAAATTCAAAGCATACGTTTTTCAAGCATATAATTAAATATGATTTGATTAGTAAAGGATTCAAATGGCTTTTTTTCCCATGGAATTTTGTTTTTAATCACAGTAATTAGGCATTTGATTCCCATCTACCTGCCTATAAAGTATCTGCACTTCTCATGTTTTTTCAATCGTCAGTTTAATTACAAAGCAGTTACTCTGTGATGAGCTTGGCTAGAAACTCCAAGTCCTAATGCCATGGGTTTACATACATAGGCCTTGTTCCTGTGTGGTGTGGAGATCCTGCTAACTGAGCAATGTGTCTTGCTTCAAATCTGTCTTCTGTGTATTAATTTTACAGGATGTTGTTTGTTATGACACAATGTTACTTTGTGTTTTCAAGCTGGTAAGAGTATGAGCTAAGTGAATATCCATGTCTTTTTAAGTATTTTTTGTTTGTTTGTTTCAAATGGCAGTTACATTTTTATATGCTTTAACTTTAATGAAATAGTAGGCATTTAAAAATATAACATCACAGCCGGGCAGTGGTGGCACACGCCTTTAATCCCAGCACTCGGGGAGGCAGAGGCAGGTGGATCTCTGTGAGTTCGAGGCCAGCCTGGGCTACCAAGTGAGTTCCAGGAAAAGGTGCAAAGCTACACAGAGAAACCCTGTCTCAAAAATATATATATATATAACATCATGGAAAGATGGAAAGATGGCTCAGTGGTTAAGAGTATCAGATACTCATCCAGAGGACCTGGGTTCAATTCGCAGAACCCACAGACTATTCACAACTATCTATAACTCTAATTCTAAGGGATCCTATATCCTCATCTTGGGCACCAGGCACACACATGGCACACAGATACACATGCAAGCATTCATACACATAATATTTAAACTAAGTAAATAAATAAAATATATCATATGTGTCAGCCATCTTTCTCAGAATAACTTTAGGGGAGTTTACCAGAGGGGTTGGAGTGTAAGAAATATTGTCTGGGGGCAGGTAATGTCTTGAATCTTATCATATTCCATGATGCCAAAAAATAAAACCAGAAAGGTAGGAGTTTGTGGAACTTTGCTGGTGTGAGAAAGAGGAAAGAAAATTTGAGGGAAAGTAACAGTTAACTCTTCCTCATAACAATGAATCCTTTCATCTGACATCCAGACTTAACGGTATTCTTCTAATTGGGGCTTCCTCTGCCCCACCTCCTTTTGCTATTAGTGACCAGCTTCCAGTGGCCCCATGCTACAGAACCTGTCTGAGAACAGCTCTTATGTCCCTTCCCACCCAAGAGTGCATCCCTGGCTTTTTGTGTTTCTTGGTCTGCACTGTTCAGCAATCTGGCAGTGGCCTGTTTGCATTATGCTGTTATCATGGTGTCTTTGAAACTGTGCCTCTGGTCCTCTAGGGAAGAGTATGTTAAATACACACTATAGCATCTTCTGAATTATCCTCCTGAGTCAGGACACACCCACACTTTCGTGGGTAGGTACTTACTCAAGGACTCTCTTCCTCTGGAAAGTCTGGTTCCATCAGAACACAGGGATAGAGTAGGGGTAAGATGTCAGCTCCTGATTTGGTTGGAAAGCACTTTTCTTATTCCCAGGCTAGCATTCAGGAGCCAATCTTGCTTATGAGGTAAAGCAAATATTGCCTTTGAGGTAAACTTTTAACAGTTTGATCATGGCTCCTAGCTGTTACTGGGGGATGAACACCCCACCATCCTTGGCTGGCTTGTTATTTGGAGGAAAATTTAAATGAAACCAGACTGATAGGTCTCTTTGAGGCACTGACTTCAAATATAAGAGAGGTATTGATTACAAATACTCACTGATGTTGAAGTGTAACGAGTCTTTCTCTGTCCTGCCTGTCACCTTCCAAATAACCACATGGGGGACCTCTTATTAATTATGAATGCTTGGCCTTAGCTTAGGCTTGTTTCTAACTAGCTCTTATAACTTAAATTAACCCATTTCTATTAATCTGTGTTCTATCACATGGCTCATGGCTTTCACCTCTCCTCCTATATGTCTTACTTCCTCTGTGTTGGCCTGGTGACTCAACATTTCTTCCTCTCTGAGTCCTCTGTGTCCTCAGAAGTCCCACCTAACCTCTTCCTGTCTAGCTATTGGCCATTCAGTTCTTTATTAAACCAATCATGGTGACACATCATCACACAGTGTAAATGAATATTCTGCAACATTGAAAAATGTTACTACATTAAAATTGTCAAAAAGTTTTAAAATCCAGAGACTGAGAAAGAAGGTGAATTCTATGAAGTGGAATCAAATAGGTGGATTTAAAGGTATCCTGCCAGATCGCCAACTCCAATTTGGCGAACTTATCATACTCTCTTCACTTACCCTCTCCATTATCCTAGCTCTGGTGTCTGATATGTAAAATCAATCTACACTCTTTCCACTTGAGCCCAGAGACAGCCCTTTCATTGCCACAGCACCATCCATGATTGAGTACAGCATACACAGAAGCTGAAAACTGTTTTCTCTCCCCAGAAGATATTATTCCTATTGTTTTTCATAAGATGAAATGGGGACCAAGAAGCAAATGGCACAAGTCAGTTTTGTGAACATGTGAAGACATCTGTATTTTTACCGGATTTATTAGCAAGAAGTGAGAAAAGAGAAGGCTGAAGAAGTTGGCCACCCCCGATCAGTTCTTCTGCTCGGTGTAGTGGCCCTTCATGGTTATTTTTCACAACTACAATCAATTTCAAGCTTCAGAGCTTATAACCCTGTCTTTGAGTGAGTGCTTACTATGCACAAGGCACTGAGCTTCGTGCTAAGAACAGAAGGAAAAAGACAAAGGAAAGAAAATTTAAAAAGACAAATAAAACAATAGCCCTCGATGCTACTATTGCACCTTACTTTGGTCCATATGATAGTTTCCCCCAAATACTTAGGCAGAATAGTACTAACAGTGAGAGCCTTTAAGAGATGGGTAGAACCTATGGATGGGCCCTTAGGATGAGATTGGTTCTCTTGTGAAGAACTCTGAGGCACCTGAAGCTATCAGACTTCATTTTTGATGAACAGAATCTGGGATGTGAGAATTGATTCCAGTTACTTACAAACTGCACAGTCAGAGGTGCATTTTGTCAAGGCAGCTGGAATAGACAAAGACTTGCTGCATCATCACACATTAACATCCATCACTGTATTTCCTACTTGAGAGACTTTCAGCCTTAACACCCTATTACCAGAAAAACATTCTAGAGTGGGATTCAGTTACTTGGGTCCCTCAGCACTAAAGTTTTCCTGACCATCTCATCCAAAATGACTGTAGTGCCACGGTGCGGTAGTTACCCACTAGATCTCCTTTAGAGCACAAATTCCACCTGCTACCATCTACTTCCACCAAGAGACCACTGGGGTTCTTACTGCTGGGCATGAAGAGCCTACACCTGGAGACCCTTGCCTATTTCAGTGAGTAACAAACAGGTGCCAGTCTGGTCACCAGATCTTTTGTACATCAAATCCCATTTTAATGTCTGGATCTGAGAAACCAAAACAGATTCAAATACCTAAGCTCTGTTTTTGAGGGACATTTGAACAGACAAAGATCACATTAATTTCTGTGTTTGTATTTAAAGAACTTGCCACAGTAGGAGGTAGGGAGCA